AGACATTTTGATCAGCATAAATATCAAATTGCAGGTAGTGGGACTCCTGCACAGCTCTGTTCCCTTATCGAGCTTCCGACGGAACCATTTCCGAGTGGCTACTCTTTCCGTCGGGACAGACCACAACAAATTCGAATAAATGCGCCAGACATACACAACGCCATATTAGGCCGTCGGAATACAGACAGATTGCGCTGGGATGGGTGGTTGAACATACAGAATGCATTGTATATAACGTACGAGTGGAATGGTAGATCGGAGAACGACCCCCCTTCAATCTTTTTCACGCTCCCCAGGTCACGATGTTCATTACACGCATAATTCTGCCTTTGCTTATGCTCGCTTGGAGAGCTCTTGCAGGTCAGACACTCCACGTATTCCTTCGCATCCACTCTTGCTAATGTATCATGCGTTAGACGATACCAGCTCTACCGATGGTGTGACCCTCGTGTACAGAGTTCTCCGTATATCTACCACTCTCAATGTGACATAACACTGAAACATGCTATCCAGACTATAATCCTAGTAAAGCCGCCGCCATAATATTCGGCCTCCTTTATCTCGCTACCGGCGTCGTCCTGTTCTGGCGCGTCCGGATCTACCGAGACTGGTGGGGCCTCTACCTTCCCATCGGTGTAGTTTGTCCGTACTTCCTTATTTCCTCCTCCTCTCCCAACATCTCACCCACATAATATGCAGTCACGGCCATAGGGTACTTCCTCCGCCTCGTTCAGACTTTCAATGACTCCCTCGCCAACAGCCTCGGCATCTACATAATCCAGGATTTCTTCATTCTCTGCTCACCCGCCGCTTTCTTTGCGTTCAACTACAAACTATACGGACAAATTGTTGTGCGCTGCATAGGACGCGATCACTCCCTCATACGTCCTGAGCACGTCGCAAAGATCTTTGTTGCTAGTGATATTACAACTTTCTTGCTCTAGGTGAGGTATCTCGTTACCTTCATTCACAACTAGTCGAGCTAAGAACATTTCTAGGGTGGAGGCGGCGGTCTGACAGCTTCGCGTGATGAGCACACAGCCAAGCTTGGCAACACCATCACCCTCATCGGTCTCGTTGCACAAGCAATCTCCTACGTCTTCTTCCTCTGCGTCGCCTTCAATGCGCACTACCGGGTCGTCCGAGCGAGCCCACGCTCCTCCCGGTATGAGGAGGAATGGTGGAAAGCAATATGGCTTTTGTACTTCTCATCTGTTCCCATTATTGTATGTTCCTTACGTCTCACTCCTTTTCTCGGCTCCATGGCTGACCGTTGTGTTGTGCTTGCTCAGATCCGGTCTATCTACCGTGTCGCTGAGTTCGCACAAGGCTCCTCCGGGTACCTCGTCACGCACGAAGTTTACTTTTACTGTCTCGATGCCCTCCCACTTCTCATTGCAGTCGTGTGCTACGCAGCCTTCTGGCCCGGCCAATACATCGTCAACCGAAGTGAAGACTACAAAATGACCTTAGACTCGAATGTGTCCGTCTGATCAACGCATCAAATTCATTGGCAGCCTAAAACTGTCATCAAGATGCACAGTACTATTTTCTCTCCTCGTGACGAGATCTGAAGGGTATATACCTTTGGTACGGTACGAGAATAATGGACTCTTGTTTGGGATAGTAAATTCATTGCTGTCGGTTATTGAACCGTTTAGGTGCTCAATTCGACGCATCAGATATTATTTTCCTCCAATAATACATTCCATCTCTGACTAGAACATGATTCGTTCAAATGAACTCAGCAGGAGTCCGTCTACATTCACCATAGCGTTCTCTCTACATATGAGGTTAATACAGTGCCATATAAGGGAATTATGGCACGGGTGACGTCGTCCCGAAGTCCGCGCTCGACTGAGGGATAATTAACGTGTTGTCGTTGGAGGTAACAAGATAGGTAAGTCAACAGCCAAGTATTACATTACATTGATAGCTAATACGCAAGAGCACACACCGTCCTGCGATATGTGAAGATTAATTGTCCGGGTACATATAGATGTCATCAATGATCGTAAGTGTTCGCGTGCTGTTTCTTTCACTCCTCCGCGGGTACTATTCTGGAGCTGGGTCACAGTTTGAGGTTAATCGGAGAGGAGGATGGAGGAAGAGGAGCTAACAAACACTATAGTGACAGCGAGTGAAACCGGCTGTGAGTGTTGAAGTTGGAGGAGAGATATACCAAATTTCTGGCTGGGGAACGTCTGAAAAGCTTGAGCATGAGGTTCTTGCGCGAATCAATGGTTCGGTAAGGTTGATATGGCGCTGAGGAATTAAGTTATCAGAATGCGCGGGACATCATCGGTGTCACTAATAACTGGGTTACCTGTTTGAGGTACAAGTACCATTTCCAGACTCTGGAGCATCTAAGATACCAATCTCCACGACTTTTGTCCCCGTAAAGTTGTAGTGCAGACCCTGGATAGCGGAGAATCAGTCGAACTCTCCGACGATATCATCCGTAGTCGGGATGGCGATGTCACTAGTGTTCTGCTCTGCAGCAGCGCCTGCTGGGTATTGCTCAAGTTGGAAGTGGACAGACCGTTGATGATGGAGTCAAAACCCGGGGTAGGAGGGGATGCTAGGAAGGCGGATGTAGAAATGTCTGAGAGGTCGGAAGAGGAGGACTGCATATTATAAGTGGCCAGCGAGTATAGGCAGGCAGCGTGCAGATGACGTTGTTTTACCGATGCCTTGGCATTCGTATTTTTTTGAGACTAACATGGAATGCTTCGTGCGCATATTTTCTAGGCGTCCATTTTAGGAAGGTGTTTAGGAAAGTCGCCGCTGCCGTAAACTTGGTATGGTACGCGTCTCCTAAAAATGACTTAGTAGGCGAACAACTGTCTTTAATGGACGCTGTCAGGCTACGCGCCAGCAGCGTAAGTATATATATATCAGCACCCACGCCACGAACTAGCTCCAGAATCGGAAAGCCCGTAAGGTGCAGTCACCATTCCACTTCTGCATCATTTCCCGTCGCAACTTCCATACTTTATCATGATGGACGCCACATCGAGCATTGATGAACCAGTACAAACAACAGCTCAACTGATAGTCCTTAGCATCTTACTAATTTCACCTTGTGAAGTCGATTCTTATTGTCTATTGTGGGTCCGCCTGTGTGATGATCATATGGAGAAAGGCTGACTGCTATACCGACACCCATCGTCATTTCCATTCTGGTAAGTGTTATTGTTATTCATCGTCATCGTTATGGCTTAGCAGAATAATACAAATCACCTGGTCTCCTTGTTACTGTGCAGGCCTTTGACCCGTGGTTTGTTCCCGTTGCGCATGCCGTCATCTCTATGCCCAGCTTAAATAGCAAGACTGTAGCTTGGATAATCTCTCAGAGACGACCCTCCTCGCATCTGCCAGACACTTCTTCATAACAATACAAAGCACGGGTCTCGGTCTGATTCCGAGTAACTGAAGCATCATAGGTAAGCATAGAATTACATGCTATTATAAGGGTGTAGTCACCAATTTTGAACAGCAAACCGTGATCAACTGTACACTCCCAACCTCCTCCGCAATCACAATGTTCTTGAAAGCCTTCAATTGATTTCTCGTCAAGTCAATTCACCGCTCCAGGATGAGGTGCAGTGGTTTGCTGCTTCGGAGCCGAGTCCAGAGGTTCAGAATTTCGTCATGACTTCATCATGCCCATCAATGAAATTGACTCCTTCGAGCACTAGTGTCTCCAAGCCAGGCAAAATTCCCGCACCGTAAGATATCACAGGTAGACGTGGAAGAATCCTCCAGGCGGAGATTTATCCACCCGAAGGACCTTCACGTCTACCGCGAAATCTTACAGCGCGGTATATTTATCATCGACTAGGATGCTTCTGAGATTAAGATCGAAGCAGTACAAGGAGAGAAAATTGATGTCCTGATCTTATCTTTGTGCGTGTGTAGCCAGTGAGCCAATGCTGTTAAGACTCGGAGGAGCGGTCGTGTCGGTGCGTCTCTCGAGGAAGATTGACTGCTTTCGTGCACGTTATATGCGGGGCATGGGGTTATTCGCCTGACTGCAGCTCGTAGGTGCGTTGCGCAGCGCTAAGTGCAAGAGCGGGTTGTCAGCTCAATCTACTTGATCTACTCCCTTTTCCATTTCGAAATTAAGTAATTTTGAACTGGATCATATCCCGACACCACGCTGAAGAATTTATATACTTAGGACGCCACAGCGGCGCTAGACACGGCATTGAAAGTTTTCATCGATACCATGGCCTCGTTGTGGATAGAGTTCGTTAGAAGACTCTGCGTTGGTGTCTATCCTCCAAACGTGCTGTCGTTGTACCGCAGTGACGCCGCTGGATGACTGGGTGTGTCCAGGTTACCCGCCACCTCGTATATATGATCTGATGTCCTTGTCAGCAGTTATCTGCAGACAAGTCCCATACTCGAAGCTGTGAGACCGCAACGTTCGGCATGGCACGCCTGTCTTCCCTTGGCGGCTCAATGGGACAAGCTGACGTGAAAACCGTCTAGGGAAGGGTTTCAGGCCTGCATGAGATGTAGCGGGGATGCTGCGTGCGCCAGTGGGTGAGGTAGAGAAGTATCTGTAAGGGGGCGGAGACCTCCTAGTGTATCGTCATTTCTGATTAATCAGAGTATCATCAACGAACAGCGGTCTTCTCTGTATAAGTCGCTGATTGGACGCCGTCCAATCACGAGATCTCAAGTGCCCACATGGTCAGGACGATCGAATGTTGTCATTTACTGCCGCTGTGTAAGCTGTCCATCCACTTCCAGACGATTTAGGGGACATCATGCAGTGCACTTCTTCATCAAGGGATCCGAGAAATGCGTAGGTTGTGTGTGAGGCCTTCAGAATCTTCCGGAAGGGTTAGATATGCAAGCAGAAAGAGGTCGAAGCTGTCAGTTAATGGTAGGAAATACAGACAGCTTGTATGTGATCTCCTGAGTGGAGGCTGCGTTCGGTGTTCCAAGGGGCTGTACACTGAGATATATTTGTATTCTCGAGGCTCCATGGCAAGATGGCCGAGCGGTCCAAGGCGCTAGCTTCAGGTTATTTGTGTTTATCGACGGTGGCCAATTTGCTAGTCTCTTCGGGGGCGTGGGTTCGAATCCCACTCTTGTCATTTTTCTCTTTTTCAATGCCTCATATGATTATCTGTAACTTGCAGTTCTGTTTTAAAGCTTTTTTTCAAAATTGGTGATCCACCCACATGCAAGTCGATATTCCCACGCCACCTCCCCTTTTGGCGTGAACTTTGAAAGAATGATTGGCACCTGTACCTCACAAATATCTTGTCTGCGCCTACGCATTGGGAATGGATCAGGTAAGCGGCCCAAACTCAAATGAAGAAGTTATATGCATATAGCGCAGGAATCGTTCAGAAAACTCCTTGAAAGCGGTCGAGCCACGCAATCCAATGCGAACGGCACACCTACCGCTCCCCGAGGAACCCTCCTTGGACAGGCTAAGACAAAAGCGTATGTGTCATATTCTGGTGCACCCTTGATTCTAGCCTGACTACTTGGTTGCATAGGAAGACCATTGATGCCTCCGAGCCTGCGTTCAAGCCCAGGAAGCTGAAGAAATCGGGGAGGTATCGGGATCGTGCGTCCGAAAGGAGAGAGGGCGTAGGGAATGACTTCGCCGAGGTTCGTCTCAGTCCTCTTATCCCATGTCATGCTCTAGACCCCGCTCGCACCTTTAGGCGGAAGCTTTGTTGGAGGACTTTGAGAAGCGGTACGCGGATGCTGGTGATGTACGATCACTCTAATCTGTTTGTAAGCTGATATGAAGATACTATCAAGTTAGAAGAGAAGCGCCGCTACCTAGGCGGCGACTCAGAACACTCAATCCTCGTCAAAGGTCTCGACTTTGCGCTACTCGAGCAGAACAAGGCGCGCGCCGCAGTGGAAGCTGCGTCAGTGGACGATGAGTCACTGGAGAAAGCCTTCGCGGAGGCAACGGTTGTGTCGAAGAAGCGGACACGGGCAGATATACTCAGGGAGCTGAAAGAGAAAAGAAAAAAGGGGGAAGAGGAAAGGGAGGAAGATGCTGAGAAGGAGAAGGCTGAGAAGGAGGAGAAGAAGGAGAGAGAGCTGGAGGAGCCCAAAAAGAACGGGAAGTTTAGGCCGATTGGGTTTAAGCCGATTGGTGCGCCTATCCAAGAGAGCAAGAAGAAAAAGAAGGTAAAGGAGAAAGATGAGGGAGAGAGGAAGAAAAAGAGGAGGAAGGTCGAGAGTACAGCTGCCAACGGCACTACTGCGGGTTTGGATAAGATACAACTCGTTGAGGACGCTCAGAAGGAGAAAGCTAGCGTGTCAAAGGAAGAGACGCCACGACCAGCTGCGCGCTCAGAATCAGAACTCGAACCCATGGACGATGACTTCGACATATTCGCGGGAGCCGGGGAGTACGAGGGTGTCGACCTCGGAGACGACGAGGACGAAGAAGAGGGCGAAGTTGCCCAAGGCCCATCTCATACCGTCGAGTCTCCGCCAGCGGAAGCATCAGTGCCAGCTAAAGCAAACTGGTTCGAGACTGAGGACGAGCCTCCTGCCTTGCAAACTGGGCCTCCGCCAATACTCGAGAAACTCAAGGCCAAATCACGAACGCCACAACCGGAGGAGGGCGAAGAGGAGGAACAGCCTGCCAAGCTGGCGCCGTTAGCGGGTAGTGCGATACCGAGTATAAAGGAGTTTTTGAAGATGGAGGAAGAGGCGGAGAAAGAGAAGAAAAGGAAAGCAAGGAGGGATAAGAAGAAGGGGAAAAAGAGTAAGGATGATGGGGATAGCGGTGAGTTTTTCTTGACGGTGTGGCTGAACTTATCTCATACGTTCTCTGAATTGTAGAATGACCGATATTACAAATGTTGCCCCTTGGGATGCTGTATATAATCCACTAGCAGCAATCGGATGTGCAACTTTCAGAATCCAGACCGTTAGCATTCATACGTCTGCCCAACTTTCAGTGCAAAAGTGCATGCATACCTCAATTACTGCTTAATCCCTAGTGCCTGTTGGCTACTGCAGTGCATAGCTCGCACCCGAGATAGGTATTAACTATGCTCACTCTGAACATCATCGTCCTTGGAGACTTGCTGGTATTGTTCGTAGAGCGCCCGCTTTCGTTGAGATTCCCGCAACTCTTCCTCCCTCAGCCTCATCTTCTCTCGACGCCGTTCGTCGTCCCGTAACACCCCCTTGTACATATTCTAGGGGTGGACGATGTGAGCGAAGGTAAGGAGACAAAGCGACCCAACATACTTCATGTTCCTGCTCTTGCAAGAAATGCACACCCCATACGGTGAGACCTGTCAGAAGCACGGAGGCGAGCAGTGTAGTCTTCGCCACTCGCGACATCTAACCGCGCGCAAAGTTGTTGTTCCGTCCCTTTTGTTATGAAGTCCTTGTGTCTCCGACGAAATGTGTGTTCGATATCTACCACGCTGTAGCCATGCTAGTGCAGGACGTCTTCGAGTCTTCGACAGCGCCGACGTTAGAGTCGTGACAAGGGAATCCCCGAAATTTAGATTGGACAACTTGAAGACTATCCGATCCGATCTGATCGTACTTTCGTGCTTTCCTCTCCACCGTCACATATCCCGTTGGGCACCGGCTTAACAAATTCTTCGCGTTCAAAGGTAAGAACCTCCTGTTACGAGTTTATTTATTCACAGAAGCCACGCATGAACTAGCACACTTGCCACGACCGAGCTATGCACAGTGCATTAGTCGTGGACGAGATATTGCGCCAAATACTCGAGGAATGTGACGACTTCAGCGATCAAAGTACACGCAAGACGCTGAGTCGATTAAGCCGGTGCTGCAAAGCGTGGAAGGAACCAGCCCTGGATCAACTCTGGGGTCGATTACCCAGAATCGGGCCCTTGCTATCATTGTTTTCGGGGTATGCTTATGCTAATGGTGTGCATGTACGTATGCTCTCCGATCACAATTGTATTGATTGTAACTTACTCGCAAACTTACAGAGACTTGACCGCGAGGTTGTGCCAGACGATCTCCGTCTCTTCCACTCGTACGCAAAACGGGTCCGGCGCCTTTCATGGAGGCTAAGTACGCGTCTTTCACCATCCATGATTTCTGCTCTAGAAACAGCTAGGAAAGACTCAGGGACCGGAAGCTTACTCCCGCGTCTCATCTCGTTCGAGGGTATTATGTCCCCCAAGGGCGACATGTCCCCGTGGTCAGGCATCATCAGTTTTAGCCTGCGACACGTCGATATCCACAGCCACTGGCGCGGCGCTCGCGAGTGCTGCGACGCCATTGCTGACTGGCTCACACAGCTCCTTACTGTTGCTCGCGGTCTTGAGTCCTTTAAGTTCCGCGGATACGCAAGCCGAAGACTGAACGAGTTGTTTTCATCGATGACGACGTTACGCTCTATCAACATCAGGACTGGTTCTAGAGGCAACCTATCTGGAGCTTGCCTAGCCTCTATGACCAGCTCCACGAATCTTCACAGTCTCAAACTTAAAATCCGCGGATTGGGCGTCAGCACCTTCCGCGCTGCACTCATGGATCACGCCGCTCCCAAATTTCCGGCACTTCAGCATCTACACATAGACGCATCTGAGGACAACCTCATAGACTGTATACTAGATCTTATCCCCTGCAATACCCTGCGATCACTGCACGTAGAATTCGAAGAGAGCTCTTCAACCAAATCTGCATCTATCATCTTAGAGAAACTTGCATACAAGGCGTCCAGTGCTCTGCAAGACTTAGTAATTATACACAACGCCTACGTAGACGACGATGATTTCACCCTGCCTGGCACGCGTCTCTGGACTGTGAACACTCTCCGTCCCTTGGCGAGCATCAAGACTCTCAAGAATTTTTGTCTGGATACCCTATTACCCCCTGTTCTGAAACAGGAAGACGTTGAAGAGATTCTGAGCTGGTGGCCTCGCGTCGAGCGCATCCACCTTGCGACAGGTGACGAGGAGGAAACGGAGGAGGAGACGGAGGAGATGGAGACGGAGCTGATTGTCGCTGTGCAGCTTGAGGCGGCACGCGGGGTGAAGAGCCTGATCTTGCCCAAGCGCGACGCTAATGGAAAGCCATTTGATGTCGCGGCGCTGTCTCGCTCGCGCTGTCCTACCTCCAATTCGGAATAATTATGTAGTAATTGGCTGCCTTGTACTCTTCATCTGGACATTCCAACAAGGCATGGCAACGTATAGAGGTTGCCTCAATTGGGATAGACTATCTCATTTTCCTCGATCTTCTTAATTGGGTTTCGTTGTAGACATCATGGGTTGTAAAGCACTTACTATACTTTATACCACTGGTTGTACCTTCTGTTTAGCACCCTGTGAGGGTTATAGTCATTTATTTCGCGATATAATTGTGCGGTCTGACTCACAATCGAGTGACGGCTCTTGGTAATCCAAAATCTTCAAAGTCACACATTAGATAAATTTCGCAGGCAGCATGTCATATCATTGATCCGCATAAGCACAACATGGAAGTACAACACTCATAGCGAACACAAAGCACAGATCACAAGAGGCGTTTACACCGCAGGGGGCTTGGTGCCGGGCTGGAAGGTGTAGGTCAAACCGCACTTGCCGCAGTACTGACGGTCCTTGTGGAAGGCCATCTAGAATCCGACGGCCCATCAGAACAACAGTAGGGGCTATACAGTGAAAACACGCACGAAGATGCCAGCACCGCACTCGGCGGCTGGGCACTCACGACGCAGACGCTTGATCTTGCCGTCGGAGTCGACCTTGTAGTACTTCAAGATGGACATCTTGACCTTCTTACGCTTGTGCTTGATCTTCTTGGGAGTCTGAATATTGCAAGGAGATTGTAAATGTCAAGAAGCGTCCACAGAATGATCACAAGGCACGCACGTTGTAGGTCTTCTTCTTGCGCTTCTTAGCGCCACCACGGAGGCGGAGGACTAAGTGCAGGGTAGATTCCTTTTGGATATTGTAGTCGTTGAGGGTGCGACCGTCCTCAAGCTGCTTGCCAGCGAAAATCAGACGTTGCTGGTCGGGGGGGATACTGCGACGAGGCGTCAATGTATGGCCCTTGCACAGACAACCGCAACACACTCACCCCTCCTTGTCTTGGATCTTGGCCTTGACATTGTCGA